TGCTAAACTTGTTTATATTTAGAACCACACTGTGACACAGCTTTTCTGGGATAAATGTAATTTATTAAACGATCAAATACGAAGAATAAATAGTTACATGAGATGAAACCATCTAAATAATACAATATTTTTGAATAAAATAGTCTTTAAAAAAAGAAATCAGTCTAACAAATAAAACATTTGTATGTTTGAAGTTATTTTGCTCTGTGCAAAAGACAGATATTTGCATGATGTCCTGAGACGTTGCAGCTGATAGGAGTCATAAAACAGAACAGGGGGATGTTAGATGCTCTGACACCATAAATGTGTTAAATGAGTGAAGGAAAATATGAGCACCAAGCAACAACCCTTGGTTCTCCCCTGAGAACCAGACCAAAAATTTTATGTGCAACCCTGATTATAGTAGATGTTTATCAGAGCGCTGTAACCAAGCTTGAAGAATCTCTTCAATTTTTATTTCCTTCTGTCTTACAGAGTAATGTAACAGAGAGCAGTGACTTAGATGATTTTGTTGATAATATTATAACTTTAATGAAAATATCACTTGATAAAATTGTTTCTCTGAAATTGAAAGTAATCGATCAGAGGAAGCCGACTCCTTGGTTCAACTCAGAGTTACGTTCTTTAAAACAGGCATCTAAAAAAGTGGAGAGAAAATGGCACTCCACTAACATAGAAGATTTTTACTTTACTCGGATAGAGACAGCCTGCTAACATATAAGAAAGCCCTTCGTAAAGCTAGAACTGCATATTAATCATCTTTAATAGAAGAGAATAAAAACAATCCCAGGTTTCTGTTCTGTACTGTAGCTAATGAAAAATCCTGTCTGTTGTTATTTTTTTGTTTCACATTAAAGCTGATGGCTTTCACAAAGTATGTGTAAATTCTGAAAATGAATTTGACAAAACCCTATTGTTTATTGTTTATGTTTAGATTGTCATTTGAGTATTACCAGAAGCTGCTGGTGGAGACAGGGTTCATGCAGCCAAACAACAGCATGTGGTGAACTGTGTCCATACTGGCATGAGGAATAAAGTCCACTGAGAAGGAAAAAGAACATTATTATATTTACCGCATTTATTCCTGTATAATACGATCTCATGTATAATACGAACCCCCCTTTTTGAGCTTAAAAAGCATTAAAAATTGAATCCTCAAACTACCTCCAATTTCATACAGACTTCAAGATTTGTCAGCCTTAGCAGTCTTTATACATATCAGTAAAATGATCATTGGACTGTTCATTTTATTTTAACAACATATGTACTAAAAGTTATTTTGACAATAAATATATATCAGCT